TCTCCCACACGGGCACGCGGGGGACCAGGGCCAGATGTCAGCTTCCATGTCGGCCTCGGCTCGCGCATCAGATGCAGCGTATGGGATTCCTCGTTCTACGGCTTGAGCCCGGCCAGCCCCCCAGAACCGCCATGCAGACCCGCAGGTGCTGCGCCCTGGGCAGGGTCCCAGTCCCGAGAACTTCGTCTTCTGCAGGCAGAGCCCGGGGACTGCGGCCGCGGGGGACTCGGCCTCGCGGGGCCGCGCGCGCTCGTCCTCTGCTGCCCCCTGGCGTCCGCTCTGCGCGTGGCCTGTCCGGACCCCAGGAAGACTGACCGCTTCCTGGCTGTCCCAGCACCGAGGGGATTTCTGGTCTCCTCTCAACTGCGGGTCGTTCTGGGGTGAGCATGAGGTCCTCGGCCTCTCTCACGGCCTGGCCGTGTGTGAGCGCTGACCCCGGGGGTGGAGCCCTTCTGGGCATCAGGTGTGCAAGATGCTTAAATTGCTGTATGACTTTATGACTTGTATCGGATGCTGGTATGGGTTGCATCGGATACGGGTATTTCTCTTGTTTCTCCTTTTTTCCCTCAAAGTTAAAAGCGTTAAAGCACTGTAAGCCTCGGATCGTGGTGCAACTGGACTGTAGTAATTGCTGGGTTGTCTACTGTTGTTTTAATGGGGCACAGGGGCTGGTAATGGAATAAAGAATGCATGGATAGGGAAAAAAGAATACAAAACAGAACATTTAATTGGGCACAATGAAAAAGACAGAAACGGGAAAAAAGGGAATTTCAAGTAAAAAAAAATGGGGCATTTTAACATACCATCAACTCGTGAACTGTTTGGGACAAGTGAACATTCATTTTAGAAAGTTTATAAATACAACACCATGTTTCAAAATAATGCATGGATCGACCTAAAGAATCCAATTAAGGGAAATAATATAAAAACTAAATGTAATGAAAATGTAAAGGCTGGGCAAATGCAAGAGGCTTGAAGACATTTTTTCTGGAAGGCCTGCTTTGATTTCTTAAGATTGACCTAGATGGCACATGTGCCAGTTTCTGAAATCACAGAGCACAACTTTGTCTTCGCATCTGTTACATTCCCACTGCAGCCGCCCAGGACTCAGGGGGACGTGGCGGGAGCATAAACAGGAGCAGGAGCTGTGGAGAGGGATTTTAAGGGCGTCTACTCCGGAAGAGGCCTTCAGCATCCTGAAATCCCACGCCCCTGAGTCCTGGGCGGTGCAGACGGCTTCCACAGGCTCCAGTGGTTCGTCTCCACAATGACCCCAACACTCGGTCAAGTCCACCAACATCTGTAAACAATCTAATCCCTCAGTTTTACCAGGTGGGAATCATGCACATGCACACTAAGCACACTTGGCTGCCGGACTTCTGTGTGCAGGCACAGTGACTGCCCTCTAGAGATGCGCTTGCGCACTTGTGTTTAAGGGCGTTGCTAGGTTACAGTCATTGTGAGCTGGGCGGCTGGAGGGGCCCTGAGATTCTCTGTTGGGACCTCGAAGGAAACCCGTGTTCATCACAGGACGGCCTTGGGCTTCCAAGGAGAGAGAAGTGGCTGCAAAAGCTTTTGGGAATATAATATATCTAGCGTTTTCATATATTTATATGTAGGTATATACTGTTATAAATTATTTTATATATACATCCATATATATTTTAAATGTTTTTGGAGGATATACATATATAATCTCCTAAAAGTGTTTAAATAATATTAAATAGTTGTTTATGGAGTAAAGATAGCTAAATTATTCTTTTTTTAAAAAAAAGTTGAGTTTAGGCCCATGCTGTGGCTCACTAGGCTTATCCTACGTCTGCGGCACCAGCACTCTGGGTTCTAGTGCTGGTTGGGGCGCTGGTTCTGTCCCGGTTGCTCTTTTCCAGTCAGCTCTCTGCTGTGGCCCGGGAGTGCAGTGGAGGATGGCCCAAGTGCTTGGGCCCTGCACCCACATGGGAGACCAGGAGGAAGCACCTGTCTCCTAACTTCAGATCGGCGCAGCTCGCAGGCTGTAGCAGCCATTTGTGGGGTGAACCAACAGAAGGAAGACCTTTCTCTCTGTCTCTCTCTCTCTCTAACTCTTTCTGTCAAAAAAATTGAGTTTATTTATTTGAAGAGTTACACAGACAGAGGAAGACAGATACAGAGACAGAGAGATACGCCATGCACTGGCTCATTCCCCTGATGGCCACAATAGTCAGGAACTGATTGGGCCAAAGCCAGGAGCCAGGTTCCCCCATGGGTAGCAGGGGTCCAAGCACTTGAGCTGTCTTCCTCTGTTTTACCCAGTGCATTAGCTGGAAGTTGGATCAGAAGTGGAGCCACTGGGACACAAACCAGCACCCATGTGGGTTGTAGGTATCACTGGCAACAGCTTTATCTCTCATACCACAATCCTGGACCCCAACATTATTTCTTGTTTTGTAGTTGTCTTCTGTGTCTGAAGAAACAAGTTAGTTCCTTTGGTTAACTATAGGAATTAATAAAAATATTTAGTTGCACTAGGTATAATAATTAGAAATATAACTATGTATATTAGATAATAGATATTATTTTTAACTCCTTATTAAGTTATTATAAGATGAATATCACATGTATTGCTTGTTTATTATACTGATAAATTTTTCACCTATAAGTTTCCTTAAACTTATAGGTAAAATATTGAGATTATAGCCTATTTATATGTTTATGTGTATCTTTGTATGCATTCATATAAAGGTATATTTATAAATCCTTTTGTACAAAGTTGTACACTGATAATGTGCCAGAAGACTAAAATTATTATTTGAATATTTTTTATGTGTATGTAGATTGATGGAAGTTATTTTTCATGAAGTTATTGTGTTAACTCTTGGTGTTTCTCAATATCTTCTAAAATCATCTTGTAAAAAAATACTTACTTTTAAACAAAAAGATAATTTCCTTTTTCAACTCTTTATTGGTGAGTGATTTCACAGTGTTAAGTATATATATATTTCTTTCTTTAGATGTTTATGACTTACACCTTGTCCCTTGTAACAACAATTCATAGTTTTATCCTCCCTACATGTAGCATAATACAACTACTAAGAAGTCTTTATGCCCAAATTGCATTTTTGTTTCATAAAATGGTAATCAGGTAACACAAAAATTTGCTTTTTCATCCTAAAAAAGAAGGGGCAATGGGAATAACTACATTTATCTAAATTTTTCCAACTTTTAATTAACCTAGTTATGAGAATTTTGTTTACTAAAAAGCATTAAAAAAGCGTGCAAGTTAAAAATAAAATTTATCTTCTGGATGTAATGAAAATATAACAATATGTATTTTAATGAGTGAACATTTTCAAAAGTTTTTTAAGAAACCCACTCACATTCAAAGACAAATATTGGCTGGTGCCATGGCTCACTAGGCTAATCCTCCACACCCCGGGTTCTAGTGCTTATTGGGGCCCCGGTTCTGTCCCAGTTGCTCCTCTTCCAGTCCAGCTCTCTGCTGTGGTCCGGGAGTGCAGTGGAGGATGGCCCAAGTGCTTGGGCCCTGCACCCGCATTGGAGACCAGGAGGAAGCACCTGGCTCCTGGCTTCGGATCAGTGCAGCGCACCAGCCATGGCAGCCATTTGGGGAGTAAACCAATGGAAGGAAGACCTTTCTCTCTGTCTCTATCTCTCACTGTCTAACTCTGTCTGTCAAAAAAAAGACAAATATTGATATATAATACCTGCCTACCAAGGATTTCCTATTTTAGATTCACAAGCTTTTTTTCCATTTTTCTTCATAAAGTTTCAGGATAGAATGGAAGGAAAATAGACTAATTTCATAGCAATGATTAGAGTTATGCTGCTTATTTCAGACTTTCATTAGATCAGTGGCTGAGGCATAACTATTTTACATAAGAGTTATAACAGCAACAACATGTAAAATCTACAAGTAGCTTAGTTCTGGATCTCCATTAAACCTCATGGTTCTCCAAGCTGTGCAGTCTTCTGTGGGTGAACCTGCTCACCACTTTTCAGTTAGTGACTAAGCATCCTAGGATCCATTATTGCTTTCCCGTTCACCCTGTATTGCTGTAACCCTCTAAGCCCAGTCCTACTTTTTCATTTAGTCACAGCAGGAAAACCTACAAATACTTCTTTTTTAAGATTTATTTATTTTATTTGCAAGAGTTATATAGAGAGAAGGAGAGAGAGAGAGAGAGAGAGAGAGAGAGAGAGAGAGAGAGAGAGGAAGGTCTTCCATTGGCTGGTTCAATCCCCAGATGGCTGCAATGGCCAGAGCTGAGCCGATCAGAAGCCAGGAGCCAGGAGCTTCTTCCAGCTGAGCCAGAAGCTTCTTCTGGGTCTCCCATGTGGGTGCAGGGGCACAAGGACTTGGACTATCTTCTACTCCTTTCCCAGGCCATAGCAGAGAGCTGGATCAGAAGTGTAGTGGCTGGATCTTGAACCGGCACCCATAATGGGATGCTGGCACTGCAGGCGGCAGCTTTACCTGCTAAGCCATAGTGCCAGCTCCTCAAGTATTTCTTTTTTTTTCACTGTTCAAGGTTTATTTAATGATTTAGGTGGTATGACACATGGATAGCTGGTTGCATTGCTATATGTAGATCTTTCTTTTTACATTATGTGCAGTGTACACTACTCATACATACAATACACAAAATAAGATCCTTTAGAACAGTTATGCACAAGACATGCAATATTGAGTTTATACAATATTGGATCCCAGGTTATGACTGACTAGGAAAAAAAGTTGGACTAAGCACGTTTGGTGAAGGGACCAGAAGTTACGTAGCACACAGTAAACGCACGTCTAGTCGGAAGGGCAACTGGAGCTCGTGCAACACAGGCAGTGGCACCTCAGAGGTGGGGAACTATAACTTAGGCTGACCAGCTCAGGATGACACAAAGTCAGTGTCACCCAGTACCTGGATGTAGCTGTCGGATTTTGTAAACCATTCTATTTCTAACTTTAGGAAACATGGTTTTTTCCCTCCCTAGGCCATCATGATCTCACTGCTTTAATCATGGATCAGATTAAAAAGGACCACATGCACAACCTCCAACTAAAACCCTGTAGTAGCCTAGACAGTGAAGTGGTAGGACATTATCCAAAGACTTTAAAACTGCAGCTCTTTTTGGATTCCCCAAAGTGTGTCTGCGCTCTTCTTCAAGTGGGCCTCTTCTTCAGAGGTCAGAGTCACCTTCACAATGTCTGAGATCCCATTTTGTCCCAAGACGCAAGGAACACTAAGGAAGACCTCCTCCTTTATTCCATAGAGCCCCTTAATCATGGTGGAAATCAGATGCACCCTCCTGAGATTCTTCATTATGCTTTCTGCCAGATCTGCCACAGACAATCCAATGGCCCAGGATGTGTAGCCCTTCAGCTTGATCACCTCATAAGCACTGTCTACCACTTGTTTGTGAACCGGTTTCCACTGTTCCTTGTCTGCATCGGTGCCTAACTCTGAGTGCAGAGTCTTCAAGGAGACATCAGCAACGTTCATGCCGTTCCACACAGGCACACTTGAATCTCCATGCTCGCCAAGGATCCAGCCGTGACAGCTCAGTGGGTGAACTCCCAGCCTTTCCCCCATCAGGTAATGGAAGCGGGCTGAATCCAGATTGCAACCACTTCCAATCACACGGTTTTTGGGAAAGCCACTTATCTTCCAGGCCACATAGGTCAGGATGTCCACTGGATTGGAAACAACAAGCAACTTGCAGTTGGGGCTGTACTTGACAACATTGGGAATGATGAATTTGAAGATGTTCACATTACGCTGGACCAAGTTCAGACGGCTTTCTCCCTCTTGCTGTTGTGCCCCAGCCATGATGATCACCAGCTTGGAGTTGGCCGTCACACTGTAGTCCTTGCCAGAGACAATTTTAGGGGTTCTAAGGAAAAGGCTGCCATGCTGGAGATCCATCATCTCTCCCTTCAGTTTATCTTCCATGACGTCAACAAGAGCAAGTTCATCCGCCAAGTCCTTCATTAACATACTGATGGCACAGGCCATGCCCACAGCACCAACCCCCACAACCGTGATCTTATTTTGGGGGACATGTTCTTCCTTCAGAAGGTTGTGAATCAGCTGATCCTTGAGAGCTGCCATTTTGGACCTGGAACCAAAAGGAATCGGGAGTGCACGTCGGACAGGCGTGAGGGGCGCTCGGTAATGGGACCCGGGCTCGGCGGCAGCGGCTCCAGCACTCAAGTATGTCTTAAATACTTTTTTGTTTGAAAAAGTTACAGGTGGTATTGGGGAAAGGCAGGTAGATCTTCCAAGGTTTACTTGCCTGAAGGCTGAAAAAGTCAGAGATGGGCCAGACCAAAGTCAAGAGCATCAGCTAAGTCTCCCACATGTGTAGCAATAGCCCAAACACCTGGACCATCTTCTATTGCTTTTCTTAGGTCATTATCGGGGAGTTGGATTGAAGTGGAGTCTCTGGGACACAAACTCTTGCCCACATGGTATACTGGTGTTGCAGGCGGCAGTTGTATCCACCACATCACGATTCCAGCCCCTGTTACCAAGCACTTTTGATAAGAAATTTTCAAACCATAGCACAAGTTTTATAACTGATTTAGTCATTTGCCATTTTGGCTTATCCAATGAAGCATTAGAACATTATAAATACGAGTGAAACATTCCCCCAAATTTCCAGCAAAATCACCATACAGTGTGTATGAGATCTGTTACTATGAGGCAGTTGAATTTGTGGGATTTTGTCATGTCTCATCAGTCAATGAAGCTTCTGGTTCATTCCTATGTGTGGCCTTCCCAGTACCCTTGTTTGAGTTTAATAAGTTTATCGAAATATATTGTCCAAAGACAGTTGATTCTATGAGGAAAATTAGGGTACTGGATGATGAGTCTGTTTTCTTTTTAACAAAATGTTCATGCTGAATGGAGACTTGGACCCCAAGATTCAGGATCCACTCTTCTGGCCAAACCCTCTCCCTGGAGCTTCATAGTAGAGGCAAAGGAGTCCTAGAGTGGTAAAGGCCTTAACTTTTCATGGCCCAAGCAATTATTGATCCTGTGGTCCAGGGTGACCAAGATTGAGTGATGCTAACTCACCTCATCTGTAAGCTACCAAAGCCTGAGTGCAAGGAAGATGTGAGTAGATGAGAAAGATAGACAAGGGTCTAGGAAATGAAACTTATCGGAGGGATCTTGGAGATGTGACTTTCAGTGAAGGGCTGACTTGTCATATCTGAAATATCACCCCATTACACACTCCCATTGCTTCATTCTGCCTTTGTTATTCCCAGAATGTGAACTGTTTGAAACCTATCCTCTCTGCATTTTGTATTTGGAGATAATGCTGAATCTCCCTGTATCCTGATAGTTTTTTCTGGTGGCTCAGGAATTGTCAGGTTCTTTGTACCATATGAGAAAGATGTAACAAAGCGTGCTTTAGGACATTGTCTGTTGACAAATGTCAAATGATTAATAGATGTCAGATACCATGGATTTTAAGTAGAAGCATTTACTTTATAGAAATTGTAAACCAATGCTCATGATGTTCAAGCAGTTTAAGTGGCAGTGGTCTTGCTGACATCCTTGCTGACATAGTCGGCATGAATCATGCCCATGATAATATCTATGTGAAGCTCTCTTGATTGTATTTGGCATACTATTAAATTTTTCCACACTCAGCAAAGTGTATCAGCATTTGATGTATTAAAAATCAACAGAGGCTTTTTGTTGTAATTTTATTTGTAATTTTTAAAGTATTTATTTGAAAGGCAGAGCATGAGAAAAGGGAAGAGAGAGGTGTTCCATCTGCTGGTTAATTCACTTGCCAAATGTCCTAACAGCCAGGGCTATTCCAGGCTGAAGCCAGGAGGCAGGAATCCATCTGGGTCTCATATGAGGGTAGCAGGAATCCAAGTACCTATCCATCATCTCAGATGATGTATTTTAGGTATGTAATAGCAAGGACACAATCCAAGAATGTGCATATGGGATATGGTTGCCCCAAGCAGTAGTCTAACCTGTATTCAACCTTCTCAAGTCTGGTGATTTGTCCTGATTCTTTCCTAGACCTTGTATCTCCAACAGGCAAGTCCCAGGTTTCTTCATAATATCACTATTTACTAAAGTAAACTCCAGTAGGCAAATACTTTTCAAAGCGTGTTGGTATCATATATGTTGATATTCCCATTAACCTAAGGATAACTAGATTTAATCACTGCCAATTACTCTAATTTTGTGTGCTCTTTCAAAAAGTCTTCTGCCTGTTTTCAATTGTAAAGCGCTAATTCTCCACAGGGAGGTTGATTTTTATTTTGTTTCTCCAGCTAAGGTGTCGGTTATTCTGTATTTGCATGATCTTCATTAGCACTGTGGACTCTAGGAGCAAGTCAGGCCAATTCTCTCATGATTCCCTGCATTTACCTTCTCTTCCAGGTATAGTTGTAGAGACCTCTACATGTTTCCAAGATCAAAGGAAATGAATACATCTCCAGTAAGTTGATTGATTATTTCTTATTTTGTTTTATATCATATTATAGGAGATTTATGAGGGCTTTAAGTTAAAATGAAACAAATAAATGTGATAAGGTAAAATTTTCATGGTTATAAGAAATTAGAGCCATCAAAGCTGATTGTATATTGGTCTCCAGGTCTTCTGATGCCACAATAAAGGCATATTTGTTACATAGGATTAAAATCAGAATTTAGAATTTGCTAAATTCCTATGGGATATGAAGTCTGAAATGGTCTTTATTGGTTGTATAGATGATATAGTAGAAGTTAATATCAACCTACAAATAAACATGCAACATTCTGCAGTGGTGAGAGTTACCCACTGCTAATATACAAGTCAGCCAATGAAGTTTTTAAGGAATTGCTGAAACAGCGTTTGGGAGATTGTACTGCATTTATGGATCAGACCAGGAATTTTTGGAGAACAGAATCTGCTGCAGGTTCTCAGACGGCTCTGTATACTTTTCTTCTAGCCAGTCTCTATAGGTTGTTTGTGTTGCAGACTTTTCCTAAGTTATATTTTCAGGCAGATATTCCATTCTTCATTGATACTTCAAACAACTCACAGTAGTTTCAATTGAATTATTCAAACATGAGTCAATATCATGTTATATTCTTTAGTCGTTGCTTTGCTTGATTATTGTCATATTAAAAATTACATATGTGTGGCCGGCGCCACAGCTCAATAGGCTAATCCTCTGCCTGCGGAGCCGGCACACCAGGTTCTAGCCCTGGTTGGGGCACCAGATTCTGTCCTGGGCACTCCTCTTTCTGTCCAGCTCTCTGCTCTGGCCTGGGAGTGCAGTGGAGGATGGCCCAAGTCCTTGGGCCCTGCACCCGCATGGGAGACCAGGAGAAAGCACCTGGCTCCTGGCTTCGGGTCAGCGTGGTGCGCTGGCCACAGCATGCTGGCCACAGCAGCCATTGGAGAGTGAACCAATGGAAAAGAAAGACTTTTCAATCTGTCTCTCTCACTATCCACTCTGCCTGTCAAAAAAAAAAATACATATGTTTGTGTGTGTCTGTATGTGTGTGTGTGAGTTAAAGAGACATAAAGAGAGGCAGGTAGGCCAGGAGAGACAAAAGAGAAAACCTCTTATCCACAGACTTACTCCTCCAAATACCCACAGTAACCAGGGCTGTATCAGGGCTGAATCCAAGAGCTGGGAATGTACTCCTGTCAGAAGCCCAATATCATGAGCTATCACTACTGCCTCCCAACATCTGCATTAGCAAAAACCTGGCATCGGAAACAGCTGCGAATCAAACCAAGCACTCTGAAGTGGGATTAGAGTCTTTTTTTTATTTTTTGACAGGCAGAGTGGACAGTGAGAGAGAGAGACAGAGAGAAAGGTCTTCCTTTTTTGCCGTTGGTTCACCCTCCAATGGCCGCCGCGGCCGGCGCGCTGCAACCGGCACACTGCGCTGATCCGATGGCAGGAGCCAGGTACCTATCCTGGTCTCCCATGGGGTGCAGGACCCAAGTACCTGGGCCATCCTCCACTGCACTCCCTGGCCACAGCAGAGAGCTGGCCTGGAAGAGGGACAACTGGGACAGAATCCAGTGCCCCGACTGGGACTAGAACCCAGTGTGCTGGGGCCGCAAGGCAGAGGATTAGCCTAGTGAGCCACGGCGCCGGCGGGATTAGAGTCTTTATAAATTTTATCACTTTATATAAAGGACTAGATTTCCTTTATTTCATATATACAGGTTTTGCAAATAATTATTTTATTTATTTATAAGGCTAAGTAGAGGGAGAGAGACAGACACAGAGACAGAGAGATATCTTCTCTCTGCTGGTTCACTGCCTAAATGGCCACAATGGCTGGGATTGGGCCAGGCTGAAGCGAGGAGGCACGTGCTTCTTCCAGGTCTCCTACCTGGGTTCAAGGCCCAAGCACTTGGGTCTTCTTCTGCAGCTTTCCTATGCAAATTAAAAACAAAAATGACATTTTGATATGTGATGATCTTAACAGCCCTTATCTTGACTGTTGAGGAACCTTTTTTTCATACTAATTGTTGAACTCTTAATTGTTGGATTAATCCTATGACTATAATGTTAACTGTAAATATATCTTAGTAAAAATAATTGGAATAAGAATGGAAGGAGGAAGAAGAGTGGGACCATGGGCAGGAGGAATGGTAGGATGGAAAGTATCACTATGTTCCCAAATCTATATATATGAAATACATTAAATTTGCATATTCTAAATTAAAATTTAAAAATAAGTGTGATATACAATATTATCATAATAAAGAATAAAAATCATAAAATTGTCACTATATGAGCAGATGCAGAAAAACAACTTGTGAAAATTCAAATTTGTTCATGGGAACTCTCTAAAAGTTGTCACAGAAAGAACATACCTCAACACAATAAAAGCCATAAACAATAAAAGCAGAGCTAACATTAAAGTCACTGATGAAAAGTTTAAAAAGTCTTTTGTCTAAGATCAGAAATAATACAAATATGTCCATGCTTACCATTTCTTTTCCATGTAATGCTGAAAATCCTAGAGAGAATTATTAGGCAAGAACAAAAATATCATCTGTATAAGAGGAAGAAGTAAAATTGTTTCTATTTGCCAGTGATAATAATGAATCCAATAAAAAACTGTTAGAAAATAAATAAATTCAGGAAATCTCAAGTTCTAAAATCAATATAAATATCATTAGTGTTTCTACAGATGAATAATATGTTATCTGGGAAAGAAATTAAGAAAATCATCCCATATATAGGAGCATGAAGAAATAATGTTTTAGGAAATAATGTGTCCACATAGGTGAATATTTTATACACTAAAATTATAATACATTGATGAAATAAAGAAGATACAAATAAATTAAAAAAGTCTCTCATAATAAATTGGAATAATATTATTAAAATAGGCATATGACCCAAAGCAATCTATGCATTCAGTTCAATTCCTATAAAAATAAAAACAATCTTTTATTCAGAAATAGAAAAAAAATCTAAAATTTCCTTGGGACCAGAAAATATACTACATAGTCATAGTAATCTTGAGCCCAAAGAACAAAACTGAAGGTATCACACTTCTCCCTTGAAAATATATTATAAAGCTATTTTAATTAAACAGTATGACACCAGCATGAAACAGATACATAGGCCAATGGAATAGGATGGAAAGTCCAGAGAAAATATCCAAGGATTTAAGTCAACTTATTTTTGACAGACATATCAAAGAAGCACAATGTGGATAAGATAGTCTCATGATAAATGGTTTTGGGGAAACTGTAAATGCAAATATAGAAGAATGAAATTAGTCTCTTTTCCATGTCATATACAAAAGTCAACTAAAAGTTGATGAAACACTTAAATGCAATACCCAAAACTATAAATCTACTGTAAGAAAACACGTGGTGGAAGCTTTACTCTTCTGAGCAGTACTTTCTTGGATAGGACTCTAAATCTGCAGACACCAAAAGCAGGGATGGACAAATGGGATTGTGCAGTTGATGAGAATGTAAAGTAGGACATCAGTCATCATGGAAAACAAAGCAATGAGAACAGAAAACTGTCAAATAATCCACCAACTGTGTTCCTGGATATATATACAAAAGAACTAAAATCATTATATTAAAGGGATAGCCCCACTCCCCTGCTCATTTCAGCATTGTTAACAACAACCAACATAAAGAAGTTACTTAAGTATCAATAAAAGGATGAATAATTAAAATATCTATGTGTGTATATATATGTAATGAAATACTAGTTAGCTTTAATAAAGAAAAGAATTCCACAATTTGCAGAAACATAGGTGAAATTACAGGACATTATATTGTGAAATAAGCTGAATAGACAAAGACAAATACTGTATTATCTCATGTATATGTGGAATTAAAAAAATCTCACAGAAACAGAGAGTAGAAAGGTGGTTACCAGAGGCTAGGGTATGGGGCAGGATGGGGAAAGGAAAAATGTTGACCAAAAGGTACAAATTTTCAGTTAGTCAGGAGGATATGTTATAGTAATCTATGAAACCACTTGTTTGCCGCAATTAATAATGCATTGTGTATCTAAAATTGCTAAAAGAGTAGTATTTTACCATAACCAAAGATAATTTGGTAATTAGCATGATTAAATCTTTCTACAAACATACATACATTTTAAAGGTAACATCGGGGGCTAGTGCTGTGGCATAGCAGACTAAGCATCCACTTGCAGAACCAGTATCCCACATGGGTGCAAGTGCATGGGCTGGCTGCTCCTCTTCTGATACGGCTCTCTGTTTATGGCCTGGGCAAGCAGCAGATGGTGGCTCAAGTGCTTGGGCCCCTACATCTATGTGGGAGAACCAGAAGAAGCTCCTGGCTCCTGGATTCTGCTTGGCTCAGCTCTGGCCATTGCTGCCACTTGAGGGGTGAACCAGGATGCTGAGCTGTGTAGACTCTGGCTCCTGATTTCAGCCAACAGTCATCAGGGATCCAAGAACTGCTTCTGGAGGCCCAGGATGGATGGAATTGTTTGGCCAAAGAGAGGGACACAGGTTACAGCAACCAAGACCTGGCCCTGGGCTGCTGCAGAAAATCAGCTGGAGCAGCAAGGGCCAAGGGAAAAGGCCAGTGCACACTGTGGGGACAGCAAGATGCAGCATGCGACACAGGGATCTGGTGCCGGGAGCTTTTCAGGTATCTTAGGATCAAGGCCGGGGGTGCAGAGGCTGAAGGACCTGGAGCTGCAGCAGGAGCAGAGCCAAGCTAAGGCAGCAGGATGGGGATCACAACTTTCTCAGGCTCGGGCAGCTCCAGTATCAGCCTGGAAAACCAATATGGAACTACGCTCAGAGCTGTCTGACTCACTGTGCACACTGCAGCCTGAGGGCACACCCCTGGAGATCATTTCCAGTGCTTCCAGAGGAGAGACAAGTGGAAATCAAAGTACAAAGTGAAGCTCCTGGAGAACTGGGCATCCTAGAGACCCAGCTAGAGCAGTATTGGTGTGGGAGCCACCACCCTTCAATAACAACAGTAAAATTTAAAATGAACCAAAACTGATGTACACTTAAAAATGAGGATGTGGGCCGGCGCCGCAACTCAATAGGCTAATCCTCCACCTGCGGCGCCAGCACCCTGGGTTCTAGTCCCTGTCGTGGTGCCGGATTCTGTCCCAGTTGCCTCTCTTCCAGTCCAGCTCTCTGCTGTGGCCTGGGAGTGCAGTGGAGGATGGCCCAAGTGCTTGGGCCCTGCACCCGCATGGGAGACCAGGAGAAGCACCTGGCTCCTGGCTTTGGATCAGCGTGGTGCGCTGGTGGCAGCGTGCTGGCCACAGTCTCTCTCTCTCTCACTGTCCACTCTGCCTGTCAATAAATAAATAAATAAATAAATAAATAAGGATGTGATAAACATTAGAAACCATGGGTTCGGATATCTCAGAGTATTTTATCATGGCTCATTAGACAAAAAAAATTATTATTCTCAAACAGAAGGGAAAAAAGGCATCTTGGGCCAAATATTAGACAGAATGTAACTGAAGTTTAAAGCCTTTAACAAAGAACTATGATATTTTGGCAAAAAGTAAGGAAATATTGTACAAAAACACAGCAAACGAGAAATCAATGAGGCAAAATGTATTGCAATTGGAAACTCACACATAAGTTATAAAAGATTTCAATTACCCAGGTATGTTGGCTATATTAAATAAACAACAAAATAATAAAGATTTGGAGAACATAAACCCAATTTTAAAAATCCATATTTGTAGGTTTAGATGAATTAGATTAAAATGAGAACATCATATTTTTATAACTCACTACATTTAATCTACACTACAACTGAAAGTTTTCTTGCCAGATAAAATACAGAAAGCAGTTAAATGTGTTTTAGATATAAAGGGAACACATGGGATGCCATTGCTGAAGGCCAAGGCATTAAGGGGCTGGGCCACAGCTTTGGCCCCTGGCTTGAAATTTACATACAAGTAGTTTCTCTGCATTTCTATTTGCAAAATTAGTGGCCAGGCTTTAAAGAAATCACACTTGCTACATAAAATAGAATTTTGCATTTAAAGCAAGATTCACAAAAATTAAGTAATAAATGACAACAGAAACCTTAACTCCCCCCAAATCATACAAACGAAACCTATATTAAATGAAAATTGAGAAATACTCTCTGGAAATTCAGTTAACCAAAGAGTGAATAAAAGGAGAGAACACAATTAGGAGCTTGTTTTTAAATTACAATTTAAAAACGACACACTGTGCCCTAGACTCACAGCTACACAAAGAATGGCTCCATGAAATCGCAGATCCAGCATCACACTGGCGCTTGTTAGACCTGCAGAAATTTATGTTCATTTAAGACTAGTAAGTCATTTTCCTGCCGCGCTCAGGCAGAGGGCCAGGGCCGCGGGGAGAGGCGGAGCCCGGGAGCAGGGCCTGGGCGCCCCGCGGGGAGGTCGCGGCCTTGACCTTGACGGGGCTTGGCCTGCTCCCCTCCCGCCGGAGATGAGGGAAGATGGCCGTGTCTGGGCTGAAGGCCGAGTGGAAGTTCCTGGCGTCCGTCTTCCCGAGAACCACGGGCGATTCCGCATGGTCAGCGGGAAGCTGGAGGAGCTGCACTGCCCGTTCCTGGTGCCGCCGCCGGCGCCTCGCTGCTCTCGCCGCACCGCAGCATCGCGGATCTGAGACCTCTTCTTCAGAACGCGCTCCTCGGACCTCTCTCGGCGGCGGAACTGCACTATTATGACATCAAAATCCTGCAAGATTACGTTTTTTACACCACTGGGTCTGATCGGACAGCTCGCATAGCCGTCAGCATGGACGACACAGAAGACGCAACAAATCAGCATCTTTACAGCAGGGACGGGAACTCCAGGCCACTCCAGATGGTAGAGAGGCGAGGCCTGGGTTCAGGGGCCAAGGGCCTCCCCCAGGGCTGCACCCTTTCACCAGCCACCTGCTGGGACCCTCCTGCCTCCCCAAGGGTCTTCCTGGGAGAATCCCACCTGAGGCTGCAGTAACCTGCTTAGGGTGAGGTAGAGAGTATTGGCTGTTTATTGGCTTCTGGGCCTTTTCCCTTTCTTCATATTTGTAACTCATTTCTCTGTGTGTCATTTGTGGTGGTTTTGATATTTATCTTGTGAATGTTTACAATTATTACATAATATAATCGTTTTATCTCTTGTAGATATTTGTTTTCTACTCTGCTTCTTGCCCTTTAATATTTTTTTTATCTCTTGCTGGTACTTAGTAAGTAGTGGAAATCTTTCTAGTAATCTCATTACATTTGTTTATTATTTGTATTTTTTTAGATTTTTATGAATTATCTCTATGTAAGTGTCATACTATATGACAGTTTTATTCCTTAGAAATTATCTTTACACCTTTGATTTACTTTTTGCCATTTTATTTCCCTGACGACCCTCCAGTAGGAAGTTGAAGATAAATAGTGGCAGCCTCCTGATCCAGGCTTACTTCCAGGGAAGAAAGCTGTCAGTGGTCCTGTATTAGCTGTGTTGTTCGTTGTAGGTTCCCTTTGTTCTTGACCAGATTGAGGAAGTCACTTTTTGTTTGTTTATTTTTACTGATAGCAAGTGTTTTTTCACTAGATGCAGAATTCTATTAAATGCTTTTCAACATGTAATCTAACTGATCACGTGATTTCCTTTTTGTATTTTTCACCTGTTTAGATGACCTGGTAACATTAACAAATCTTATATTTTTAATTATCTCTTGCTTGTAGTTTATTATATTTTCATACATGATTTCATTTATTATTTCATAATACTTTGCTTAGCCTATTTGTATCTCTGTTTATGAAAGGGCTGCTTTTAAATCCTGGTCCACTTGCCTCACCATTGATGTTAATGTTAGTTTAACAAAAGAAATTTAAAAATATCTTCTGCTTATTTACACTTTGCATAGGTCTGGGAATTTTTGTTTGTTTCCTTAGAAGTTTGGAGTATGCCATGTTTAATTTGAACTTAGAAAGATTTCACTTTAAAATTGTGTTTCTGAAGGATTTTCAGAGTATAGAATAAAATATTCAAGGACAACTTAAGAGAATCCAGAACAAACATGACAATGAGGGGGATTTTGGACAACTGGCCTTTGTTTCTGGTAAGTCAAAGAAATTTTAAAGCAAATGTGCAAGATTAAATGACAGAAAAGGGCTAAAAAACAGATCAGTCATTAGTCCTGCTTTGTTCCTTGGACATGTCTGACGTGGAAAAAGGGAAGTAATCGTTCTTCATTAAACTGGGTAGAGGCCGGCGCCGTGGCTCAATAGGTTAATCCTCCACCTGTGGCGCTGGCACCCCGGGTTCTAATCCCGGTCGGGGCACCAGATTCTGTCCCAGTCACTCCTCTTCCTGTCCAGCTCTCTGCTGTAGCTCGGGAGTGCAGTGGAGGATGGCCCAAGTGCTTGGGCCCTGCACCCACATGGGAGACCAGGAGGAACACTTGGCTCCTGGCTTTGGATCAGCGTGCTGGCTGCAGTGACCATTTGGGGGATGAACCAATGGAAAGTCTCTCTCTCACTGTACACTCTGCCTGTCAAAAATAAATAAATAAATAAACTGGATAGAAATGCACTGTTGAACAAAAATAAATATTCATAAAATCATATAACCGTGATGCTCATAGAATGTTCTCATATAGGAAAAAGTAATGCTGTATTTTCATTATGAGATCTGGGATGATATGAGTCTTAAAAGTTAATAGAAAATGTGTACTATGGAAAACTATGCAGGGATTTAAATATTTTTGCACAAAGTACATATCTTTTAATTTCATTTTTCTACAATCTCAATATTCCTTGTGTATATATGCTAAGCAATCTCCTATGAATCCCATGTTGTTTTTGTACTACCCAGTATTCAATGTGAGTCTTAACCTACTTGTTCTAAGGTTATACATTATGACTAAAAAAAAATAAAACATCACATCTGCAGTTGTTAAATTTTGGACTTTTTTATTTTCAAAGCTTTACTTATTTATTTGAAAGGCAGAGTTGCAAACTCAGAGAGAGATTTTTTCATCCACTAGTTCACTCCCTATATGGCCACAGTGCAGAGCTGGGCTGATCTGAAGCCAGGAGCTAGAAGTTTCTTCCAGGTCTCCCATATGGGTGCAGGGGCCCAATTAGTTGGGCCGTCCTCCACTGCTTTCCCAGGCACATTTGCAGGGAGCTAGATGGGAAGAAGAGCATCCAAGACTCAAACTAGCACGCATGAGATTCCAACACTACGGTGGTAGGTTTACCTGATATGCCTCAGCACCAGCCCCAAAACTTTGGACTTTTAAATCAGAAACTTCATGGATTGGAACTTAAAGATGCTGATCTTGCTTTCTCTCATAAATATTTGGCACTGATTACCAATAAACTCAGGATGCCAAACTTCACTATTTGGATTCCTGTCTATGCTGATAAGCATCCACTGCCAGCTGTCTCTTTTATTTGAAATTTGGTTGTATTTAAACACAAAGCGACAGAAATACCAGCACTGCTGACACACATAGAATTTATGGTAAAATAAACAATACTTAAACCTTCAGTTGCAACAGTCTGTAGTTTCTGTTTCATCCTGTAAATTTTCAAAGCAGCCAAAGCCAACAAGAATAAAATGAGGAACAGTAAGACTCAAAGACAATACTTAGCAATACTACTAATGTCGATGATGTTAAAATTTTAGTTATGTGCCCTGCACAAATTAAGTTCTTTCACATTCTGACCCAAGAACATAGATCCCCAAAACTACCTTAATGTATGCTTAGAAATCTGAAAACAGATGTAGAAAAGTACTAATCTAAACCAGCCCTCATTTCACAAGGGAAGACAGGAATCTACATATGCACACTGATTTAACACAGTAACAGGGAAAGAAAGCCAAAGCAAAACAGTCCAAATGAGCAAAACTCTGATTATTGAGATTTCACATAATAAACTTTATAGCTGTTCTCATGGATAATCTGCACATACATAATTATCCTTCATTTTCATATATTTCATTTTCCAAATGAGGGCAAAATAGTGTCAGTAAGCTCTTTGAAGGGCATTATAAAAGCTATTAGCCAACCTTTTATGTGAGTGTAATCTACACATTCATTTCTCCAAGCTGGGACAATGAACATACTTAACTAGTGACTGATACGAATCAGGATTTCTTTTTTTTTTTTTTTTTAACGGGCAGAGTGGACAATGAGAGACAGAGATAAACGTCTTCTTTCCATCGGTTCACCCCCCAAATGGCCGCCACGGCCGGTGCGCTGCACCAACCCGAAGCCAGGAGCCAGGTGCTTCCTCCTGGTCTCCCATGCAGGTGCAGGGCCCAAGGCCCTGGACCATCCTCCACTACACTCCTGGGCCACAGCAGAGAGCTGGACTGGAAGAGGAGCAACCGGGAAAGAATCCAGTGTCCCAACTGGGACCCAGTGTGCCGGCACCACAGGCAGAGGATTAGCATAGTGAGCCACGGCGCCAGCCATGAATCAGGATTTCTAATACCCATTAAAAACACTTGAAGAGAATTACTTACCTAAACTATTTTTGAGAGTCAAATTAGGTAAAACTCAAATGAAAAAGACTACTTTAAGCATGTCTCCACTCTCACACTATTCTAAACCTTCTACTCTGCTTTCAAAAATTATCTAAAAAATTTGTTGTCAAACACCATAAATACTAAGAATATAAATCAATGATATGATACCAGGAATTTGGCTAGCTATATTGAGAATTTGAAAAATATTGAGAATAAAGAAAATACTGAGGGGGCAGCAGATGGTGTGGTTACAGTAGTCTCATATGAGTCCTGTATATGATTCACATTCACAAATAGGTGTATATGCAAGCAAAGACCTAAAATCAACCTTAAATCTACATTTATGGCCAGTGCCATGGCTCACTAGTCTAATCCTCCACCTGCGGTGCCAGTACCCCAGGTTCTAGTCTGGGTTGGGGCACCGGTTCTGTCCCGGTTACTCCTCTTCCAGTCCAGCTCTTTGCTGTGGCCTGAGAAGGCAGTGGAGGATGGCTCAAGTGCTTTGGCCCTGCACCCGCATGGGAGACCAGGAGGAAGCACCTGGCTCCTGGCTTCGGATCTGCACAGTGCACTGGCCATGGTGGCCATTTGGGGGGTGAACCAATGGAAAGAAGACTTTTAACTCTGTCTGTCTCTCTCTGTCTAAATCTGCCTGTCAAAAAAAATCTCCATTTATTTCTTCTCCTGCATGTAGTTTATGTTTTTAATCTTTTTTAAAAATATTTTTGACATATATTCATTTTATTACTTGTCTAATGCTACATTCTTAATTTATTACCTATGATTCTCATCGCACTCAAATTTTCAGATCAACTTTCTAGCAGTTGTTATTGCCTTCTCATTCAAGTTATCTGAAAACATCACTATAAACTCCACATGTAACTTGTTCCCATCATTTATGGTTTCTGGTCTTGAGGGTTTTGCTGTTTTTTTTTTTTTTTTAAATACCTTAGATTTTATTATACCATCCAGAATTTTTATTTTGTTTGAATTTCCATTGTTTTTCAAATAAAGTGTTTTTAATTTTATTTGCTTTTCTTTTTTATTTTTTTTTATTTGACAGGTAGAGTTATAGACAGTGAGAGAGAGAGAGACAGAGAGAAAGGTCTTCCTTCCGTTGGTTCACTCCCCAAATGGCTGCAATGGCTGGCGCTGCGCCGATCTGAAGCCAGGAGCCAGGTGCTTCTTCCTGGTCTCCCATG